AATGCTATTTTTGTGTGAAAATTCTCGATTTTGTAGGTTACATTTTTAACTTTATAATGCTATAACTTTATGAGAAATGTATGGATGAACACAATTTTTTTCTGAGAAATAATATTTTTTAATAATCCCTTTTTCATTCAACATACTTTATCTTAATCAGGATATTAATAAGGAACTAGCTGATTATGTAGCTTTTGGAATAATCTACCAATTTTTTAAAATTAAACACTATCTAAAGATTTGCATCGAAGCGTTATTTTTTTGATAGTGATTTTAATCACTGGCAGATGCTTGATGTTTTTACCTATCATTTGGTATATTTTTTTTGTAAATTTGACCCTTTATCTGCCCACAGGGGGGGATTTAAAATGACAACTTTTTCACAAAAAATTAACTTTTGAAAATGTTCCGGAAGGTCTGACACTTTTATATATATCTTAAATTTAAGCTAATGTAATATACTTTAATTTGAAAAATAAAAAATTTGACCTCTGGACTTGTTTTCATGGTGAAAATGGCTATCGAATGCTATTTTTGTATGAAAATTCTCGATTTTATAATTTACATTTTTAACTTAATAATGCTATAACTTTTTAAAAAATGTATGGATTAATACAATTTTTTCATGAAAAGTAGTATTCATATACATCTTTCATTGGACATACTTTTTTTTTAATCAGACCATTTCCCTATATGTGGGGGGGCTTAAAGTATAAAAAATGCATATATAAAGTAGAACTTTTTCAACTTAACTTTAAAAAATGTTCCGGAAGGTCTGACACTTTTATATATATCTTAAATTAATGCTAATGTAATATACTTTAATTTTAAAAAAAAAAATTTTACCTCTGGACTTGTCTTCACGGCGAAAATGGCTACCAAATGCTATTTTTGTGTGAAAATTCTCGATTTTGTATTTTACATTTTTAACTTTATAATGCTATAACTTTATGAGAAATGTATGGATGAACACAATTTTTTTATGAGAAATAATATTTTTTAATAATCCCTTTTTCATTCAACATACTTTATCTTAATCAGGTTATTAATAAAGAACTAGCTGATCATGTAGCTTTTGGAATAATCTACCAATTTTTTAAAATTAAACACTATCGGGTCAATCCATGCCAAATCATCCAGAAGTAGTTGCACGACTACCTCATATTTTTCTTAAATTTTCAGGGTTTATTATTTATGCTATAATTAGATTAAAACAATTTTTTTTTTTTTTTTTTTTATGACCTTCCGATTTTTATGGCTATTTCAATGTAAAAAATGTTAAAAATAGCCAGAACGTTAAAAAACACACAAATTATTCAATATTAACTCAATCGACTTAAAATTTTAGGATTGACCTGATTATAACTTAAAGTTAACATTAAAAAAAAAAAAATTTATGTGAAATTTCAAACTTAAATGACTTTCTAAAAATGGTGCTTTTTTTGAGAAAATTGGCGTTTTTGAGCTCACCTAAAACCATTAAGAAGTTATTATTTTATAGTGATTTTCAAATGTGGTATTGTATAGTATATAATCTATGTTTCAACTAAATTTCAAATATTTAAAACAATTTTCTTGGGATTTAGAGGCCTACAAAGTTAGAAATTTTATAAAAAGACACGTATTCTAGGTGCATTATCTCTGTTGGGGGACCTAATTTCGAAAAATTTTTTTTTAAATTTTTTAGTTATATATCTGCTTAATACACCATAAAAAATGTTGCAACAATTATAAAACGTTAGTTTTTCCAAATATTCACAGATGATTGGATTCTAAAAAAACATAACTTGATCCAGCTAATTTTTGCTGTTTTGTTATAATATTTTTTAAAATAAGAGTTACATACAATAAAATAGTTTTCTTTACTTAAATTCATAAAAAGTTATTTGTTTTATTCGTTTATATATAAGACACGTATTCTAGGTGCATTATCTCTATTGGGGGACCTAATTTCGAAAAAATTTTTTTTTAATTTTTAAGTTATATATCTGCTTAATACACCATAAAAATTTGAAGTTTGAGAAAAAAGTTTAACATTAGAAAAATTTAGCATTAGAAAATCAGTAAAAATCCGTTCAAAATCATGTAATTTAATGATACTTTTTTGTTGTTTTCAAACCATATTTTTATAATTTTTTTATATATTACTGTATATGTAATATATTACAATACAATGTAACTATTATATATTATAATTATTACATATAAACTTTTCTGTAAAAATTGTGTATAGGTTTTATAGGTTGTATTGTGGATATTTTTAATTTTAAATCTAATACTTTGGCGTTGTTTGTCTTTATAGATATCTAATTAGATAATCTTATTCTGATATAGATTAGCAAGATTAATTAAATTTTTAGAAAAAGATCTATACACTGATTTATGACAATCTTCATTTGCTGATCATAATAATGAAGAAGAAAAATTATTATTATTTTTCAGAAAATTATAATTTTGTAGTACATGATGAAATTCAAAGCTTCCATTTGGCTAATAAATAAGCCACTCTTTATCCCTTTGTTTATTTTTATAAAATAGAAAATATAATTAAGTGTCAATGTATATGCATAATTAGTGATCACATGGAACATAATACCGTTGCTGTACATACATTTCAAAATCATCATAGATAATAGATTATCATTAGACATTAGACGGAACATTTTTGTATAAAAAATAAGTTTAAAATATATGTATTATATATGTAACAGTAGTAAAAAAATTCTCAAGAAACGTCTGGAAACATTTAGGAATAATATCTCTATGCAGTCTATACTATTTACTTATTAAACTATGTATAGATAGACTCGTTTCGATAACAACACACTGAATCGATAACAATGCTATATCAGAATAAGATTATCTAATTAGATATCTATAAAGACAAACAACGCCAAAGTATTAGATTTAAAATTAAAAATATCCACAATACAACCTATAAAACCTATACACAATTTTTACAGAAAAGTTTATATGTAATAATTATAATATATAATAGTTACATTGTATTGTAATATATTACATATACAGTAATATATAAAAAAATTATAAAAATATGGTTTGAAAACAACAAAAAAGTATCATTAAATTACATGATTTTGAACGGATTTTTACTGATTTTCTAATGCTAAATTTTTCTAATGTTAAACTTTTTTCTCAAACTTCAAATTTTTATGGTGTATTAAGCAGATATATAACTTAAAAATTAAAAAAAAATTTTTTCGAAATTAGGTCCCCCAATAGAGATAATGCACCTAGAATACGTGTCTTATATATAAACGAATAAAACAAATAACTTTTTATGAATTTAAGTAAAGAAAACTATTTTATTGTATGTAACTCTTATTTTAAAAAATATTATAACAAAACAGCAAAAATTAGCTGGATCAAGTTATGTTTTTTTAGAATCCAATCATCTGTGAATATTTGGAAAAACTAACGTTTTATAATTGTTGCAACATTTCCCGTCGTTCTATTGTCACTTAAACTATTAGTGTATGAACAGATCTTTGCTATTTTATCTAAATCGCCTTATTCAGACGGATGCCTTAATCTGAAGTATAAATTTACTTCTCTCACATTACAAATTTTATTTGTTAGTAATATCTTTAATTAATTATTAATTAAAATTCTTCAATATTTTTATTAAGTGAAAAAATAATTAAATTCCTCTGTGATACTTTTCATTAACTTTAAAAGACAAACCACTTAACATTAGCCTATATATTATTTAATACATTTTCAATTGAAAATAATATTGATTATAATGGCTTGTTTTTAACCGACTCCATTTCAATTATTTTTTCGCGATCAGTTTTATAATAACATTGCCTTATAAAAACTTAAGTAATTGATTGGCAAACATCAAAAACTTTTCAATTAATTCTAAGAAGACATTTTTGTACAGAGTATCTAATTTTAGTATGATATAACTTGAAGATATCATTTATTATTTTAGGTTTTGGTAGTTGTGCATTTGTTGATACTTAAATATTGACATGTGTTAATTGGCTCTTTAAAACATAGGTTAAGACACAGTTTAGACTTAAAACCTCGGTCTAAAACCTAATATTTAATGTTAGTTAATTTAAATAACGATGAGTTTTACTCATAAATTTAAAAGGTTTTTGCAATTTTTTTGTAACATTGATTGCTCAATGCCTAATTAATAATAATTGTTTAGTTTTATTTTTTGTGGAAACATAGAATTTTTTGGACCTTAACGTTTATCTCTATAAATATTGCAATTACAAAAATATTGCATCTAAGAAAATATTTTTAAAAACTTATGCATAAAAAAAGGTAATAATGTATTTTATTAATTTATGTTTTTTATAAGAATTCTCAATAAAATAATTGTAAATATTCTGATGATAATGCATGACTACAGATATTTTCTTTATTTAAAAAATAAATAATAATTACTATCTACTTCCTCCCATACCTTCACTATATTATTTATTATAATTTTTGTTATGTAATAAAGACATTATTATAAATTATTTAATTATTAATTATGATTTTTTCAAGTATTATATTTTTTAATTTTAATTTGTTGTGAAAAAAATTTAACTTTTGTAAAAAAATTATTCTTTGATTTACTTATAAAAAAAAAAAATTGTTACTATTTCATTTAATTACTACTTTTTATCTTTTTTGGTAAAAAATTAACATTTAATTTGTATAATTTGTATTTATATTAAAAGTATAAAATACACTTAATTTATATTCCTTATGGAATTTTACTGATTAATTTGTTTAAATTTCTTAGGGTTGCAGTTTACTTCATTTTATTGGTAATTAAATAAAAATCTTGCTTGTTTGTTCAAAGCTATCAAAGAGAATTCATGAACAAAGCGTTGATACTGTTTTATAAATAAAGGCTAAATACCTATGACAATATTTTAGGTCTCTTGCAGATTTGTAATTGTATATATATATATGTAAAGCATTAACAAGGTATTCATCATACTATATTTATTGGTGTCATTTTTTCATAGGATCGTTTGTATTTTGTAATGGAATACATCAACGGAGGAGACTTAATGTTCCAAATTCAGCAGTGTGGAAAATTCAAAGAACCAGTTGCGGTGTAAGTATATTATATTTTTCTTTTTTCACTTAAATTGTTATTACTATACATATTTATACATATTTTAGATTCTATTCAGCTGAGATCGCTATTGGCCTATTTTATTTGCATCTGAACGGTATCATTTACAGAGATTTAAAGTTAGATAACGTTTTGTTAGATCAAGACGGCCATATCAAGATCGCTGATTTTGGTATGTGCAAAGAAGGTATTATGGGCGATAAGACTACAAAAACATTCTGTGGAACGCCAGATTACATAGCACCTGAGGTAAATTTAATAGTCTTATCAGTGTATAGCTTATTATTTTATTCTGAATTTTACATAGATAAATTAACTGTATTAAGATTATTCGCTTGTGTTTGAAAGTATATAACTATATTTATCCCTTCAACTATTAAAACTGAAGTTATATCCTTAAATTATAATAATTTTTACAGAATAAATTTTAGCTTCGATGCGAAGCGGAGAAGGTATTAATGTTACTATGATGTGTTTTTTTTTTTTTTTTTATGTCTGTTGCCACTTTTTCTCAGCTCTCACTGGACCTATTTCTTTCAAAAATACGTCAAAAGATCACAAATCGTATCTAGTTGAAGACATTACCCTTAAAAATTGAAAAAAAATCCCTCGTTCCCCGCAAATGGGGGAAATATCCAAAAAAAATACAAATTTAAAAATCGCTAATTTTCGAAATTTTTTCACTTTTTTTTCTTAAAACTTCCATAACTTTTTGAAAAATCAACAAATCAACATAATTTTTTTTTATACTAAAACCTTAGATATTTACCTTTCATTTGATATCATTTTTTTGAAAATCTATCACTTAACCTGCTCATTGGGGGGGATTTAAAATGGCAACTTTTTTACAAAAATTAATTTTTTCAACTTAATTTTTGAAAATGTTCCGGAAAGACTGCGTCCTTTAAACATATATCAAATTAAAGCTTATTTTATGTACTACAAAATGAAAAAAAAAAATTTGTCCCGACACTTTTTTTTCTACATTTAAACGGCTGCCGTAGTTAAAAAAACACTATTTTTGTGTTAAAATTTTCGATTTTCGATTTTAAATTTTCAACTTAAAAATGCTATAACTTTTTGAAAAATGTATATATCAGCACAAATTTTTTTTTTCTAAATACATTATAAGTACATCTTTCATTTGACATACTTTTTATTAAAATTGGACAATTTCCCCTTATATAGGGGGCGTTCAAAACTTAAAATATTGTAAAAAACATAGATCTTTTTCAACTGAACTTTTGAAAATGTTCCGGAAATACTGCGTCCTTTAAACATATATCAAATCAAAGGTTATGTTATATACTATCAAATGAAAAAAAAAAATTTGTCCCGACATCTTATCTTCTATGTGCAAATGGCTGTCGAAAATTTAAAAAAAAATGTAATGTTTGCGATAAAAATTACATTTTATCGGGATGTTTTTTGTACTTAAAACTGCCATAACTTTTTCAAAAATGAACAAATAAAAATAATATTTTTTTGTATTGAAACCTTAGATATTTCCCTTTCATTTGATATAATTTTTTTTGAAAATCTAACACTTATTCTGCTCACTGGGAGGATTTAAAATAGTAACTTTTTTACAAAAAATAACTTTTTCAACTTAATTTTTGAAAATGTTCCGGAAATACTGCGTCCTTTAAACATATATAAAATTAAAGCTTATTTTATGTACTACAAAATGAAAAAAAAAAATTTGTCCCGACGATCTATCTTCTATACGCAAATGGCTACCATATTGAAAAATATACTATTTTTGTATGATAATTATGGGTTTTGTATTTTATTTTAATAGAAGTTGATGTTGCTTTTGCAATTATCCATCAATTTTTTAAAATTAAACACTATCTACAGATTTGCATCGAAGCGTTTCTTATGATAGTGATTTGAATCACTGTCAGATTAAATCTATACTGGACCCTACTATGCAATGTCTCCACTATGCCGCGACCCCACTGTGCTACCGTTTTATTTATTGTTGTTTTTCTTATAGATGTAGTTTATCACAATGGTATTATACATTGAAAATAACTGTTCGGCTATCACATTTCACTATAACCGCTGAATTGATTTATTTAAACGATAAACAAATTCTCTTTAAAATGGCCCATTCATATTTTCCAGCTCAAAACTTTTGCTCTTAAACTGACCGTTTAGTGTAAAGTGAACCAATTAATCGGACAATTTACATTGAAGTTCAGAACTTCATAACAGTTGAAAACATAAATTGGAATATATCTTATAATTTCAATGCGCATATCATGTTGTTTCGTTGTATGGTGATTTTATGTATAAACTTAATTTTTAAGGTGTGATAGAAACTTATCCATTTACTCAGTTTTTTTTCATTATATATAATATATTATATCTAACATTGTAAAATGTTTTTAGGGTAAAATTATAAAATATTAATATCTTATAATATTCACATAAGATATTAAGAGACCGTTGTTTTGACTTATTTTTAATTAAAACAAATTTATTGATTTTTAATTTGAAACTATTTTACGCATAATTTCTTTTTAAAGTAATAACAACTTTTGCCGATGTTTAACTTAATTTTTATCATTTATATTTCTTACATAGATTTTAAGATCTTAAAATGATTAAGTACTTATCTACTGTTATCATTCAAAGTATTTCAAAATTTAATTTTTTTTTAACTGATAATCCTTTGTAAAGTAAATACTCAGTATTAGGGCGATTTTTAGCTATGTAGGTTAATTATTTTGTAAAAAAATTGATTCAATACACCCCTAGAATTGTTCATTAGACAAAATATAATTTTTACAAAAGGATAGTTGAAGTTGAGTGACATTAACACGTGTCGCAAGAGGGTTCAAATTTCGATTGTGAGGGTCATTACAATTTTCATCACTTATTTTATAAAATTTAAGTCTTTTTGGTATTAAAGTAAAGTAAGTTTATGCTACCATAAGCTTATTGAAATCTGAAATATTTAAAAATAAAATGTAATAAGCTTTATTAAGTATAAGAATTGTTTAATTAAATTGTACACAAAGAAATGGTTTGACGAATCTTAAGCTATTAAACTACCAATTCGAGGCTTAAATTATAGTGCATTATTTTTCAGGTTACATAAAAAAGTACAAAAATATACTACACTAAAAATAATTTATAAAATAATTACAGATTAATAAAATATAGTTTCTCGAGTATTTATAGTGTTATTAAAAAAATAGAATGTATATTTAAAAAATGTTGGATAATAGCATTGCTTTATTACAATCCGAGAATTTTTCCGTAATCGGATACAACTTGTTGAAGCTACAACTATTTTTGACATTCATCTTTCGTTATAATGTTGTTGTAATCTTCTATTAATTTAAGGGCTATATTAGCTATAACAGGTATAAATTTTATTACCTGGAAAGCTCTTTAATAACTTTTATTACTTGAATATTTGGATTTGCTACATTTAAAAATTCTATAAAAATAGAAAAGTGGTTGAATAGTATATACGAATACTCTTTTGTAATATGTTTAATTTTTTTTTTTTCTAAAAACATAAGTATATTTTAGAGATACGATTAAACGCTTTGAGTTTAAAACTATTTTGTTCATGGTTCTATATTTCTTAAAGCTTTTACTATCTTTATTTTAGTTTCAACTGATACGGTTTCATAAAAAACAAATATCGGGGGACATATACAATAAACAACAACAAAACTTTTTGACTAATATTAGAAATATGACTTTATCAATAGTGATATAAGTAAAAAGGTTTTCAATAAAATTTAAGTCTTGAATAGGTGGTTTAATAATTGAAGGTGCGTCAAATTACATCTTTAAATATAAATTAATTGAAAAAACACTTATATTTATTTAAGTTTATTTAACTTAACTTTTTTAATATTTAAAAGATTCCAACTAGCTTGGGGTAACATATAACAATATAACAATAGTTTTTGATCTGGTATAATTTGTCATCTTTTGTGGAATCTTTGAAGAATTTTTGCAACGATATTCTTAATTTGGCTAAAAATCGTCTCGAGTTAATTCACTCAAGACACGATTATAAGGAGTTAAGAACACTATTTCTGAATGGTAAACTTCCTAATGGAAACTACTTTAATACCCTATCATACTCGGTGGATAGCTTAAGTTATACACAGCTTAAACATTTTTAAATTTCATAAGGAAATTTATTTTAACATCAAAAAAGAGAAACAGAATTAAGAAGTATATGTATTTTTTAAAACCATACCTTTATTAATAAGATGTTAAGATAAATAATATATCGTTTTTTTAATTTTTATGTCTAAGTATAATATATAAGGCCATTTTTTCTAATAACATTTAGTTCTATAAATTAAGTTTTATAATTTTTTTTAGTAAATGTCATAGTTTGTATAATAAACAACGAAAATCGAAAAACCACCCTTACAGTTGAAATTTGAATCCTCCTGCGACACGTGTTAACGTCACTCAACTTCAACCAACTTTTGTACAAATTATTTTTTACCTAATGGAACAATTCTAAGAGGTGTATAAATTTAAAAACATCATTTTTAAGAACCACCCTAATCAATATAAAAAGAGCTTATTTTAATAAGACATACTTTTTTTTACAATAAAATAATATTATATTTTATAGTTAAATTAAAAAGTTTTTTTTTTATATCTAAATAATAATAATGTATTTTAAAAAACCGCTGATTGGTTTTATTATATTATCAATACTTTTTTGCCAATATAAAAATTTATTATGCATAACTATATACAATAATAATAATAGTTGAAATGTTTGTATTTCCTGTTATAATAATGTGTGATTTTTATGACAATAAATTATTTTAAATTGTCTGTGATGTTTACACCTATAAATTATAGTTGTATCCATCATTTATTGTTAAGTTACATATTTTAATAAATAAAAAATATTATATTTATATAGTATATCTATACAGGATAATTTTTTTATCATAACCCACACAATTATTTACAAAATAAAAATAATTAAAATTTTTTTTTTTATTTGTTATCTTTAGTTACACATTATTCTTGAATTTTTAACTATGTAATACTTCTTTTTTTTCTTATAAATTTCTTCACACAATGTTTCATCTTTGTTATCAAATATCACATATGATTATTACGATTAAACGATTAAAAGTGTTTACTAACTTCATTGAACTGACTTAAATTAAATTTAACCAATAGGTTATACTTTAGTATTACGTGTAGCTTTATTTTAATTTAATTGCTAAAAGTGCTCAAAATAAATATAAATTTTTATGGGTTTTGTCGGGACTGAGCATAAAAAAGATTATGTTACTATATATTTATTTAATAAAATAATATAATATAATTTTCTCTTAGAGTATGAGTATAAGAGTTGGGTAAGTTGATGTAAAACAAAGAAAAACAAAGTAATGTCTGAAAATCTATTAATATAATAATAGTTTTAGATATAAACTATTGTGATTTTTCTGATATCCCACTTAATTTATCTACTCATTATGCCTAATTATAAACCTTATAAATCTTCTGTCAAATATAAGTTAAGTTTACCTTTGTGATGTTTGAAATAAGGTTGGGTTTGTAAATGTACTTGATGTTTGTGATGTATAGTATATGCCAGGCCATTTTTTATACTAGTTGAAAAGATTATAAGGTGAAAAAGGAATGAGCAGAAGTGACATTTGTGTGTCTTTAAATTAAATGTAACCCATATATATATGCAAGTAATGTCACGATCTTTTACTATTATCTGTTTATTACTCGATTGAGTTAATTAATTTTTTTTTATTTTTCTCAGAATAGTTTAAAAAATTCACATGAATAATACACATTTAATTTGATGACTAATAGACATTGATTTATAGACTTCTGAATGATGATATATCATAAAATTATATGTTTACTTATTGTAAAATTTATTATCATATACTTGCAGATTATATTATATCAACCGTATGGGAAATCTGTTGACTGGTGGGCTTATGGTGTATTGCTATACGAAATGTTAGTTGGTCAACCACCATTCGATGGCGAAGATGAAGAGGAACTATTTGCTGCCATTACTGATCATAGTGTCAGTTACCCTAAGGGTATATCCAAAGAAGCTAAAGAAATATGCAAAGGGGTAATGTATTAAATAATTATCATCAGTATTTTTTGTAATACTGAATTTTTAATATGGATATTCCAGTTTTTGACTAAAAACCCAATGAAACGTCTGGGCGGTGGTCTTAGAGGAGAAGAAGATATTCGAGGGCACGTTTTCTTCAGGCGAATCGACTGGGCAAAAATCGAAAACCGTGAAGTTCAACCGCCTTTTAAACCTAAAATTGTAAGTTTCTATAAGCCATAAAATACATATATATATATATCAATTAATTTAAAAAATAATTACAGAAACATCGAAAAGACGTGAGTAACTTCGACAAACAATTCACTGGAGAAAAAACAGATCTCACACCAACGGACAAATTGTTTATGATGAATTTGGACCAAACTGAATTCATGGGATTCTCATTTCTCAATCCAGAATTCATACAACACGTCTAACGGATCTTCCACTCATTCCTTTTTCATCCCATTCAAAAACATATTTTATTTTTCAATTCTATATACAGGGTTCTTTTTTTTAATTTTTATTCGCATTTTCGTTCTATTACTTATACCGAATTTAAAGAGTCAATTTGTCAAAGTTAAATAGCAAACGAATTGTCATCATCTATAAAATTTTCTCTTGTTGACTCATTTGTTTACAAAATTTTTACCTCTTTTTATAGGCTACAATTTTTAGTTCGCTTTTAGATAATGAGAATTATTATGGTATAACTTTTGTGTCTATTATACCAATTAGATGATGAGTGTTTCTTTACTTCTAATAAATTAATTATTCATTAAATTTAATTTGAACTTTTGTGTTTATACTTAATTTAAAAATTTAAGTAATTGACAAATTAATAACACTTTTTTTTTAAATAATAATATTTAAACTTTTAACTCTTAAGTATTTTTAATTTGATTTGAAAATATGATCCTCAAAATCATTCTAACTGCTTTAAATTTGGTTACACTCTAAAATATGAATTTCATACCCAGAAACTAGTCTATTCCATTTATTATCATATCATATGTATTTTTCTTGTGATGACATTGTTTTAATAACAATAATATCATTAATTAGATAATATAAATATTAATATGACACCAGATAAGCTGTAAAAGATCTATACATCAAGTTAATATTTTAATTGTTAATCGTGCAATATTGAAAAAATTCAGTTAAAAGTAATAATAGAACTATATCATCTAGTTTTTGTTGCCTATTACCCCAAATATTGTTTGATCTAAAAAGTGATGTAAATTTGGTTGTGGTTTTTCATACAGATATGTTTAATTATATTTATGTGTGTTTATATGTTTTTTTTTTTTTTAGATAGTGGGATAATCTTAACTTTAAATGATAATTATATGTATACAAATTATATTAAAAGTTTTACATTCTAAAATTTAATACATTTTCTATCTGTGATTTATTAAAGTGCAATAGGCATTGTATGTCTTTAAATTTACATAAATGTTATTTTAATTATTTTTATTTGTAATTTCATTATTATTATTATTATTATTATTATTAAAATTTTGTATTTAACAGTCAAATAGAATTCTAAAATCAAACATTATTACACAATTTTTATTTTTATTTCATATATATATATTTTTTTTTTATTAATTTATTATTATATTATTTGAAATTAGCCATATAAAACTATTAACCATTTTGTTTATATAATTATCATCAATTATTCTACTGTTTCATTAATCTTTAAGCGTAAGCGTAATTGAACAGACTATTTATGAATGTTAAATGTGTATAAAATTTTAAATTTTTATTAGTTAGCAATTTTATTATAATAAAGTATGATATTAAAAGTCATTTTTTGAAAACATAATTAGCAATTTCAAACATATATAATACATTCTAAAAGTTTACTTATTAAGATTATGTCAATAAATTTACATTATGATTTTTATATTCTTTAATATTAATTATAAATACTGATCTTAAGTAAATGTATTATTTCAACATAATAATTTTACATAGTTTGTATAATTCAAAGGACATTTTATAAATATTTATAGTATAAAGTGAATTAACTTCTATTTAATCTTTGACTTGCTCATGACTAATATATTAAGTAGAATTTGAATAAATAGGATCATGTGAAAAAAATAATAAAGATCAAAATTTGTGTTTAGTAAATATTTGTCTACTTGTTTGTACATAGTTTTATTATACATATATAAATTGTCTAAACAATTGTTTAAACTGTTTTTTTTTTATCAAATATTGTATTTGTTGGGTCATTTTCTGTTCATTTATTCCTAACCTTTATTTGTTAATAATTTGTAATTTTTAATTTTATTTAAAGTTATAATGAAGGTTTGGGGATATTTATTGGTAATTTTACAATTAAGTAAATAAAGTGAATTGAAATTTGTTAAAATATTTTTTTGAAATTATAACTTATTTAGGTAATGTATTATTATTATTAATTTCATTTTTATTTTATAAGAAATTATAAAAATACACTAATTAACAAATTATAAATTTTTAGTTTAAAAAATCTGAGAAATATTTCTTCATTTTTTATTATGATAGTAATTTATAAATGTATTATTAGACTATTTACATAAAAATTTTCATATCTCAATTTTAAATAGGTATAATATTTGATTCATATTTTATAATTCATTGAACTTGATTTTTGCTACTCTATTAATTATTTATATCATTGTAATTATTTAATTAAATTATTCATTAATAATTATCCCAGATAATACATTATTAAATTATTTTATTTTAATATTATCAACTTGTTCAATTTTTTAACGTTGACAATCAATCTTTTATCTTATTTGGTTTTTAATTTTATTGAATTTTTTCATATGTGCCAAACTCAATATTTAGAAACATTATTATCATAACATTTATTACAGTAATCATATATTTGATATGTTAAACTATAAATATTAATAATAGTTATTAAAATGCACTAGGTACTTGTTTAATGTTGTACTTGATTTTTTTCCAATTAAAAAGAGAAAAAATTAAATACATTTTTTATTTATGATTTCAAACAAAAATAATTATTGTGAGCTGAGTTCTAAAATAGAATATTATAAACTTTCATAATTATATAATGGTTTTACTTTATATATACAAAACAAAAATTAGTGGTTAGTAGAAGTCTGAATATTCCATTAGATTCTCTCATCAGTGTAACACCTTAACAAATTTATAAATATTAAATAGTAGATATAATAATGTAAGAAAACTTTAGAGTTATTTAGTTTTAAATTTTATTTTTCGAAACAAGTAGCCTTGATAGTATATCGATACTTTCACTATATTTGAAGTACTGAACCAGTGTCTCATATTAAATGAGGAAACGAATATCTGATATTTATCTCATGTCAAACTTATACTATTTAGATGAGTTTATCTAAATAAATAAAATTATTTATTTATATTTTAATTATCTTTTAAAAAAAATTTTCCAATCTTTAATCATAAAAATTGAGTTCTACTATTTCTATAGGCGCGAGAAATTAAAAGTTTGATGGTATTCAATGTATTTTCTCCATCTAAATAAATTATTTTATATATCTTAAATATTATATATATCAATATATTATTTAATACATTTTAGAAGTGCTAGGTATCCTAAGCTTCTCACTATTTATGTCTATGATTATTTTTAAGAATAAACATTTATATTTACAGTCTCTGTAGCGATAAATCACTTACTATTCTTCAACACAGAACCATCAATTTTTGACTCGTAGTACACTCTTTATAATAAAATAAAGAGTTTATACTTAAAATATAAAAATATTTATATATATTAAAACTAAAGGGATAAGACTTGAGTACACTCTGCATTAAAAATTAATAGAGTTTAGATTTTTAGTACATCTAATATATTAAAAATAAATAGTAGACGTAATCAAAATAAGTGATAGAATTATAGCAGTAAAATTAATTTTTGAGGAAAAAGCTAAGAATGTAAAAAAAAAAAAATAACTCAGCATTATAAATTTAAAAACAATTTTTATATTTTAATCATTTTTAAATTTCTCTTTAAACAATATTTTCAATGTTAACTCGTTTAGCGTATTATAATATATAAAAAATATATATATATATATGCTAAACACACTCTCTGTAGTTAGTTAATAGAACTACCAACTGAAACATTAAGTAGATCTCAAGAGATTATTTTCTAAAAATATAATCTGCTATTTTTATCGTTGCATCACTACAGTTTAACAAAAATGCTTTATTTTTTTTTTACGTGATGCATTACAAATATTTTCAAACAAGTTTGTACATAATATGTCGTAAAAGCAATGAGGAGTATTTACTATATTTGAATCATATTTTGATTATAAAATTAAAATTGAATTAAAAACAGAATTATAATAACCTATTTTATTTTTGAAACATTAATTTTTATTTTTATATATATTTATTTCATTTTGATTTTTCGAGAGAGAAGTAATTTTCAATTTATAAAAAAAAAAAAATGAGGAAATAACATTTAATTAAGGTATTCCTTTTTTTATTGAAAGTAAACTCACGTTATGTCAAATATTAAAAGGAACAGAAAAAAGTGCAAGATATTGAGTTTTATTAATCCAATATAAATGTATTGTTTATATATATATATATAATATAAATTATAATTAATTATAAAAAAGAGTAAAATATAAATATTAGAGAATTTTAAAGCACACCAAACGAAAAATTTGACATAAGAAGCCTTTACTATATGGGTAAATTAATACCTATATGGATCGAAGACTATACCTCGTGTTGTAACAGCTAAAGCATACATTTTTATTTATTTAATTTGAACAAATTTAATATATAAATAATAATAATATTTAGAAACTATATAATTTCATGCGTTAGATTCACTAAAGAAAAGGTAAAAAATCGTTAACTAAATTTTATTAAAAAATAAGATTATTAAAATTAAAATTTATGTCATATGAGTAGAAAAAGTTCACCAAAAAATGTCGTACTCACAAAATTTTAGATGTTACGTTAAGGTAAATGATCATTTTCAGTTCTGTTTCCCGAACTTAACACGCTACACAGTATGGTGCCTCTCGTTCACATGTAGCGAGTCAAAGATAGTTTTTGGCTAAGCCAATGAAAGACGGAACGGCTTGTACCAGAAACTAGACACCGTCAATGAGAAATTCATAAAAAAAAATTCATTGGCACCCTAGCGATCGAAACAATGCGCCGAAATACTACCTACTAAGCTAGGCCGACTCCAAATTACACCTTAAAGTATATAAGTAAATTGAAATACCTCTGATACGTATAAAAATCCATTCTATTTTTCGCCAAAGTATGTCAATGTCTTTATACAACGAGACATTTTTTTTTATGTTTTAGTTGATTAGTATTTATTTTGTTAAATTCTTATGGTAAGGGTAACATTTTTTTAAGATGTGTATATGATTTTTAAATTTTAAACAGTTTAAAAATTATTATAATAGTTAGACATAACACGATTGATGGAGGTAACACTTTGATTCAAATGTTAAATTTACTTTCTGAACAATTTTTTTTTTTTTATTGATATAGTCAGAGCCAAATCAATAGTTAAGTAATATACACAGTATGACCTATACGAGACAAACGGCTACACTTAAAATAAAATTTTCGATGATTGCTAAATTAATAACGTAATT